GAGGAGGAGGAAGAGTAGGACCATCAGGGGGAGGAGCAGGAGGAGAAAGACCATCAGGAGGGGGAGGAGGAGGAGGAAGAAGACGACCATCAGGAGGACGAAGACCATCAGGGGGAAGATTTTAATTTTTAGTTTAAAAATTTTATTGTGCAAAGCTTGGAGTAGGAGGACAGTATTGGTGGTGTTATCGACGGTAGTGACGGAGGACTGGGGAGTACCACGACGACCACTGATGGTGATAAGATTAGGGTTACCATGTGTGGCTCCCGAGAGAGAGAGAGAGAGAGAGAGATTTACAGGTGTACTGTCAAGGATACATCATAATTCAATGATCTGGTACACAGGTGTGACGGGAACTGTGTCTTACTGCCGGGGGTTGTTATGTATTTTGTCTCCCCATAGGGCCTCATTCACCGCACCTTAACTCCCCTCCCCCTCTCCACACACACACACACACACACACACACACACACACACTACTTCCTCTCAATCCCTCAATCACCTCCATCATTCACCTATAACCTCTCCCTTCCATACACGCCCATCTCTATCTCATCACCCCTTTTCCCATTTTTTTGTCTGCTCTCCTCCCTAGTAATTATCCCCCGTCCTCCTCCCCTTTCCCCCAGTCCTTTGCCTCACCCCAACCCTCCCCACTAACCTCCTCCCACTCTTCTCTCTCCCCATCAACCTCCTCCCTCTTCTTACTTCCCCACCAACCTCCTCCCACTCTTCTTACTTCCCCACCAACCTCCTCCCACACTTCTTACTCCCCCACCAACCTCCTCCCGCTCTTCTTCCTCCCCACCAACCTCCTCCCGCTCTTCTTCCTCCCCACCAACCTCCTCCCGCTCAGGATGTTGGCGCAGGTGACGCATAACGATGACGTCATGAAGCTCTGTTGTAGTTCCTGGAAGTGATCCGGGTAGGGAAGTTTACCTGTCGGCTGACTCTTATTTACCTGTTGTCATAATACTGGCAGGTCGTGGGTACCTGGTCATCTCCACTGTGTGTACCTGGTGATGATACTGGTAGGTTGTGGGTATCTGGTCATCTCCACTGTTTTTATCTATTGGTGATGATAAAATGGGTCAAGAGCACCAGGTCACCACAATGCTTACCTGGTGATGATAATACGGTGGGTCATGCGCACGAGGTCACCACAATGCTTACCTGGTGATGATAATACAGTGGGTCATGCGCACCAGGTCACCACAATGTTTACCTGGTGATGATAATACAGTGGATCATGCGCACGAGGTCACCACAATGCTTACCTGGTGATGATAATACAGTGGGTCATGCGCACCAGGTCACCACAATGCTTATCTGGTGACATGGTTTTGATTTGATCGGTGGTATATGAGTGGATTACATTATATAAAGATAATAATATGTCGTATTCCTTATTTCTTACCGTAGAGTTCGATACCTTCACACTGGTTACTTACAGGAGATTATGGCGTATCTACGTAGAAGTTCACTCCACCACTCGACATTCCATGATTTATACTTGATAAATGATGATTTAATGAATTCCATTAATTTCCAACATCCATCTAAGTTATTGGTTATACTTTGTCATAACCAATCAGTCATTACCTTTAGTAATAATAAGATAGGATCACAGATACGGGCAGATAATTGCACTTACATTTATTTGTCAAGCCTCCATACAATGATTTACAATTTGCATGGATATATGAATCACTCACGTTCACGCTGTAATAAAATTAATCTTCTAAAGGAGAATTTCAACTTGGGGACACAAGTGATTACTCTACTATGGGTATGACTTAACAGAGCCTTAATTCTTCAATTGATACATTTACTGCCAGCCTGGATTGTTTTTGTTGCAACCAGGCTTCATCACAAGAACTTCTTTCCACAGGCCAGAACAACAAAAAGTACTCTTGGGTTACCACACATGGTCTCGCGCCACTGACAGTCACTGTAGACGGTTGTCGCAGCAAGGAGAACTGGTAAGCGTGACTTGAATTAACCATTTAGGTGCAATAGACCAGCATGGATTGCTTTTGTCGGAACCAGGCTTCCACACGTGATATTTCCACGAGGATAACAAACCTAGGTTAACACACTTAGTCTCGTGTCGATCACGGTCACTGTAGACGGGTGTCGTGCAGGAGAACTCTAAGCGTGAATTGATTAACCATTTACTGTAGGTTTGATAGGCCAGCTTGGATTGCTCTTGTTGCAACCAGGCATCCACACATGATATTTCCACGGGGATAACAACCTAGGTTAACACGCTTAGTCTCGTGTCAATGACGGCCCATAGGACGGAGTGGCGGTGGAGGACTCTGTGTGGTGTGGTGTCCCGCCCCCTTTCAGGAGGGAGAGGATGGAGACGACGTCTTAACTATGCCATGGTCGTCGGGATACTACTTAAAATGAGGTTTTTGGGTGTGAAGTGATGAACAGTACAACACTGTTTCACTGCCCACCCCCCTAAAGGCTGGCTAACATACACTAATGGAAAATGCATATCCCAGTTATGCCTCGCCGGGCGTCTTATCTCTAGTAAAACAAACTTTGGAGTTGGTTGCGTGGGTAAGCCTAATGCGACCCATGACACCTGGTGATGATAATACAGTGGGTCATGAGCACTAGGTCACTACAATGCTTACCTGGTGATGATAATACAGTGGGTCATGATCACCACGTCACCACAATCACTAGGAAATGTGGGGTCATAACAAGCACTACTGTCCTGATAAGGCTGGCAAGAATAATATAATTACAGTATTTATTATTGTGTTTGGAGCTCTTAATTGACTTCAGGTAAATTTCCGATGGCAATTCCTTACCTTCTGTAAAATCTTAGGTTCCTTGGTTTTTGGGGGTTGGAGGGGGTCTTGCCTTTGTGGGGTTGGATGGTGTCATGGGTTGCGTTAGGCTTACCCACGCAACCAACTCCAAAGTTTGTTTTACTAGAGATAAGACACCCGTCGAGGCATAACTGGGATATGTATTTTCCATCAGTGTATGTTAGCCAGCCTTTAGGGGGGCCAGTGAGACAGTGTTGTACTATTCATAGCTTCACACCCAAAAACCTCATTTTTAGTAGTATCCCGACGACCATGGCATAGTTAAGACGCTGTCTCCATCCTCTCCCTCCTGAAAGGGAGCGGGACACCACACCACACAGAGTCCTCCACCGCCACTCCGTCCTGTGAACCGTCGTCGACACGAGACTAAGTGTGTTAACCTAGGTTTGTATCCCCGTGGAAATATCACGTGTGGAAGCCTGGTTGCAACAAGAGCAATCCAGGCTGGCCTATCAAACCTACAGTAAATGGTTAATCAATTCACGCTTACAGAGTTCTCCTGCACGACACCCGTCTACAGTGACCGTGATCGACACGAGATTAAGTGTGTTAACCTAGGTTTGTTATTCCCATGGAAATATTACGTGTGGAAGCCTGGTTGCGACAAAAGCAATCCAGGCAGGCCTATTGCACCTAAGTGGTTAATTCAAGTCACGCTTACCAGTACTCCCTGCCGCGACAACCGTCTACAGTGACTGTCAGTGACTCGAGACCATGTGTGGTAACCCAAGAGTACTTTTTGTTGTTATGGCCGTGGAAAGAAGTTCTTGTGCAGAAGCCTGGTTGCAACAAAAACAATCCAGGCTGGCAGTAAATGTATCAATTGAAGAATTAAGGCTCTGTTAAGGCATACCCACAGTAGAGTAATCACATGTGTCCCCAAGTTGAAAATTCTTTTTTTAGAAGATTAATTTTACTACAGCGTGAACGTGAGTGATTCATATATCCATGCAAATTGTAAATCATTGTATGGATGCTTGACAAATAAATGTAAGTGAAATTATCTGCCCGTTTCTGTGATCCTATCTTATTATTACTAAAGGTAATGACTGATTGGTTATGACAAATTATAACCAATAACTTAGATGGATGTTGAAAATTAATGGAATTCGTTAAATCATCATTTATCAAGTATAAATCATGGAATGTCGAGTGGTGGAGTGAACTTCTACGTAGAAACGCCATAATCTCCTGTAAGTAATCAGTGTGAAGGTATCGAACTCTTCGGTAAGAAATAAGAAATACGACATATTATTATCTTTATATAATGTAATCCACTCATATACCACCGATCCACCCAAAACCATGACAGATGGGGTCTTACCTTTATAGGGTTGGAGGGGTCTTGCCTTTGAGGAGTTGGAGGGGTATTGCGTTTTGAAGGGTTAGAATATGACACTGGGCTTCTTTATTAATGTATTTACGGTACAACATTTATTGCCTCACGTCCAGATTCCTGAGCTGGTGGTCCGGAATGCCCTAAGAAATACGCTACCTGTGCCTGATTAAATGTGGATCCCATTATAATAGGCAAACATTATCGTACCGGAGTGTAATTTGAGCGTTATACAAGGATGATAATTTTGTTTGCTTAAATACCATCAGATACGTAAATGCTTATGTCCAGGTTGGGTTCTGTGTTAGGATGGTGGGTTGAGTGTGGGGGAGACGTGTACATGTCTGTTTCTTTGTTATGGTTGGGTGTTAAGCGCAAGGCAGACGTACACAAGTTCATGTGTTTGTTAGGATCGGGTGGTGAGGTGAGCCTGAGCCATGTTATCTATGTATGTCAGATGGATAGATCCACTTTCGATTAGGTGCCACGACCTAGTGTTTGAAGCTCTTCTTATTTAGGTTACCATCGATAACGTACCCACTGAAGTTCAACACAGATAGTCAATTACGTATTGAAAAGAAGGGTAGTTGGGAAGTGGGTGCCTTTGACATAGATATTATAAACTAACAGGTGAGCGGTGACCTAGTTACAAGCAGGGAGGAAGCGGCTCGCTGCTGCCACCTGTGAGTGTAGTAATGTTTTTCCCGTGACGCGTTTGACGCATACCGGCGTTTATACCACTTGCGTCATCAGTGCCAGTGCCTCCCCCACCTCTCCCCCCGCTTCCCCGTCCATCCTGCGTCCTAATTCAGTTAGTAGGTCAAGTTCAGTGGTAGTGGGGTGGAGGGGTAGGCGGTGCGGGCAGGTTCTCCTCAGTATGTGAGTGGCCTGGCCAGTGTGTACTAGTGCAGTGGTGGCGGTCGCGTTGCTGCCTTCAGGAATACCATGGTTGTTAGGTAGGTGTTCAGGAGGCATGCTATGATGAACAGTAGCGTGCACTGACAGATCGTGGCATGCAACGGGTAGGGTTGTTCACTGTCACGAGGTTTTATATATACGAGTGGGTTTAGGAAGTGTCGATGGTGTGTGTGTGTGTTGGTTGTGTTGGGGGAGGACACACACACACACACACGTTCTGATGACTAGGCACTGAAGGTTGTGGTGGGCTACTTGTGTGTGAGAGAGAGAGAGAGAGAGAGAGAGAGAGACTACTTGTGTGTGCATGCTACACTTGGCGGGTAAGTGCCACGGTGACAGTAGGTGGGGTAGGTGGTTACTTATGGGTGGTGGCGAGTAAGTGCCACGGTAGCAGTAGGTGTGGGTGGGTTATTTGTGGGTGGTGGCGGGTAAGTGCCATGATAGCAGTAGGTGGGGTGGATTACCTGTGGGTGGTGGCGGGTAAGTGTCATGGTGGCAGTGGGTCAAGTTCGCTCCACTTCCAGCAACGCTCGTCACACACAGTATAACACTCAGGCTTACACCGCCACAATTATGAGTGTAGATTTAAGTATGCAGTACAGTTTGAGTAATTCGCTTGTAGTGATTACAATGAAGGTGTTACTTTATTAGTAGGGATGTATTTACCAGTATACTGTACATATAGTACTCGAATCAGCCAGTCTCTTAACGGAATGAGACTTGAGGGGGAGTTGTTCATCCGTCCGTTCCAGATTTGAACGCTGTGTCGAGAGAACGTTGTGAGTTAAGAGTCTGGATATTTATCCCGGTACTGCCTCATGTGGGCCTCCGGCATTAAACACCCAGTAAATACCTTCCACGTGTTAGAAAAATATGGTCACTGTGTTTTTTGGCGGGTAACTTGAAGCTTGTTTTGATGTGTCTCGTGGCACATTAGTCGATGGTACACATTGGATATTGTGTCCTGATTATTATTGCTATGTTGAACACCCAGTACTTGTCTCGTGGACTGTTAAATTGAAAAAGTAAAAATGAAACAAAACTTAGGAAGTGTGAAACTTTTGGGTGGATGGCTGTGTGGTTTAACTTTGGTGAGGAGGTGACCATGGATGGGAACAATCTCTGTGCGGTGTTATGCTAGTTTGTTATTTTTCTAGTGTAATAATAATAATAATAATAATAATAATAATAATAATAATAATAATAATAATAATAATAATAATAATAATAATAATTAACGGTTTATTGAAAGAGCTTGGCAGCCAGAAGGCTGAAAATATACAGTTACATATTTGGGGAATGGGTTACGAATTACAAATAATATACAAGTAACATAAGTGACACAAATCAGACATATAATAACTAGATGGGGAAAAGCTCAAACTACAGTTCATTTCAACATAGTGACAGTGCAAGGAGTAGTGTTTACTGGGAGTGAATACACTGATTTATTACAAGTTATTGATAATTTTTACAATGGTAGGGACTGGGCTGTTCTTATAGCGATCAGTTCGTGCACGTATGGGCTGGATGCGGTTGTGGTGTCGAACAGCAATTCTCGGACTAGGGATCTCAGGTGGTAGTAGAAGCCGGTGTCGGGGATAGTGTAGAAGCTTCTTGCCAAATTTGCAGATGAGGTCGTGGTGATGGTCAGTGAGAGTCGAAAGGGTCAGTGTGTTGAGCGCTTCTTGATATGTGGAGTAGGAAGGGGAGAGAATAATCTTGCATGCCCTCTTTTGCACTTTTTCTAGGTGTTTACGTTGTGTGGCATTTAGGGAGGAAGACCAGGTGGGGGAGGCATAGGTGAGCTTGGGAAGTATGAATGTTGTGTAAACACTGAGGAGCTCGTGTGCAGTGTGTGTGTGTGTGTGTGTGAAGACCGATTACTGTGGGAGTGTGATGATTGATTCATGTCTTGTGGTGGGGGTGGTGTCACAGTGAAAGTGGAGGGTGGGCTGGAGAGTTGGCTTGTTTTGGTCTTGCTTTTGATGTTGTTGTCTATTGTTACATTAATGCATTTACATGTGTTGGAAATATTGTTTGTGATTTATTTATCAGTTTGGTGTTGTTATATGGTATGTAGTTGGCTGCACGAAATATATATATTAATTGTATAATTGTTGGAACCAGTTCAGGATGTTTTTGTTGTGTGGTGAATCACCGAGGCTAGTTATTCAGTGTTGTGGGGAAGGCGCTGTGTCCACCGGCTTTAGGCTACGCAGTTCTCTTGCTTGTGTTGGTGCACCTGTTTGTCTTTGAAATATCTGCAAGTTGTATTGATTGGAGTAATTCTACAAAGTTTTTATACTGACATGTATACTGTTTTACCTGTTGGCTCTGTGATGGCCGAGCTCCAGTGAGTGAAAATAGCCATGAATGTTTTATTGTGAGTTTGTTCTTAATGTTCATATATTAAATATAGATTATATCGGAAAGTATTGATATTTTTGCGATTACACTTGTTTATATTAATATGATTAATGCAAGGTTAAATAAAGTTGTGTTGGGTGTGTATGAGAAGGGAGTAGCGTTAGCCTAGTGCTTGGGAGATGCTCGTGGGCTGTGCCTGTTTTTGTTGTCCCACAACAAGAGTACAAGTCGCTTTTATTCCTCGGCTGAGTTACATTGATTATTGATGAATGTTGTTCACATTTGTCGGCTTCTATAAATGCAGGTTGCTATGAAGGTAATAATTTTTCCCGCATAGTAACACTTCTCAGCTGATGTAAGAGTGAGCGTACGAGACGCTCTGAAAAGAGGAGCGGCAACGTGTCGACCGTCGACTATTATGTATACATCGGTATGTTGACGAGTACTATGCTTGCATGTGTTTGATTTACATTATTTTCATGGTCGTTTATTTTCCGTGCAATCGGTTTAAGAGAGAAGTATGGACTGAGGGCCGATGAAGGTGGCAAATGCAGTTGTAAATGTGGGGCTAATAGGAAGAAAATGAAACTTGGCAGCGCAACGCCAGCTTCATCCGGGCTGTGAAGTGTTGCCAAATGGCCGTTTTGATATTATTATGTTCTATTTTTATCTTTGGTTGTAATCTATCTATATAGAAGAGCTAATTCCTTGTTTTAGAGTCAACATTTTCAATGTTTCCGTCGTAGACGTGTAATATGTATCTGAGAAGTGTAAGGCGGTTGTTAATTAAGGCGATATACTGAATGTGTGAAGAATTGGAGGGTGTGTATATTCTGGTGTGCGTCGACGCCCTTAGAGGCCCACAGCAAAGCAGGGGACCACAGGCACAGGCGTATGTGTGAACATGTAGCAGACGGCCCAAAGTTTCTAGTCTTGGGTATGTTCCTCGTCAAATTAAACACCTGTCATATTCCTTACTACCTTACTACAGAAGAGCTAATACAAGTATACTACAGGAGGGAGGAACTAGTGGAAAAAGAGTATGGAATTTTAGTGGTCAAGTGTTACGCTGATGGAATTGGAACTTTAAAGTTCTCTCGGTAGATTTATAAACTTCTTTCATGTGTTTTTATATTTTATTAAAAAAATTAGTTTCAGATAAAATAAAATGTTTGTTTTTACGTCCTAGATTTATTATGGTAGAATGGTTTATTGTTTACCTTATGGCCACCAACTAGAGGTGGCCATGCTGAGGGAAGTTTCCTGTGTAGGATCCGATATTCGGACGTTTTGGCCATGGGCCACTACCCCTGGACGTTTTGGCCACGAGCTATATGTAGGATGGACTTTTGGGCCATGGATCAAAAATTTTCTTACTAAATTATAATCCCCCTCAATACCCTCTGGGAACCTTAGGTTAGCCTTGCTTTGGTTTTTTATTTCTTGCGATGAATTGACATATGAAATAAACTGACATTTCACGTATATGATAATTATGTTTTTATTTATACAGTATTACTTTGACCCATGGCCCATACGTCCTACATTCGCAGGATCCATTGTTCCTGATAGTTTTGTTTGGGGCTATTTATTATGAAGCCCAGTACTATTTTCGAGTCCACAGCTTGGGTTGGTAGACTGTTCCATAGATGTAACACCCTCTCTGTGAAGAAGTATTGATAAAAATTCGTTTTAAGCCCGAACGGGAGTTCTATTACGAAAATAGTATTTTATGAGAATTATTTCCTTATGTTCGTTATGCATGATAACTTGGCGAGCTTGAAGTTGTGGCCCCTCGTGTTGGTGGTGCTTGACGTAAAAAAAAAATACTTTTTGCACATAAGATCATTAGTTTAGGAACGCTTGAAGATGTGGTTGTACGGGTGTGTTTGAGTCTATGCAGGAGTTTGTGGGTGTGTGATTATGTAGGCTACAGGGCGGTAGTGGTTGTGTGCGGGACTCTGGGCGTCACGTGAGCTGTATCTTATGCGGGTGGGCGTGTGTTAGTAGTCGAGCTGGGTCAGGTGTCAGACTCCGAGAGCGCGCGCGCACACACATACATTATATATATATATATATATATATATATATATATATATATATATATATATATATATATATATATATATATATATTTATTTATTTATTTATTTATTTATTTATATATTTATTTATATAACACTTTTTACATATAGGAAATGTAGGTACACGATATGGAAATAATTGCTGTAATATGTCGCTGATGTACAAAATTATGATGAATATATTTTTGGTCGAAAAGCGTTACAAATTATAAAACACGCCAAAAGAAAATTGACTTTCTCAATTATCGGTTAGAATTTTTGTATTATACCAGAGTCGAAAAGGTTATTGATAGCCAGTTCAGTTCAAATACTTATTTAGGCATTAGGCACAGGTCCGGTGATTTCCCGATTACCCCAGGTTATTACCTGCCGTTCTCTCTTGCGCGGTAATGAAGTGGCCGGGTAGATGAGAAATGGAGGATTTAGGCATAATGAGGCGTGTACCTGGTGGGTCTTACCTTGTTTGTCTGGCCCACCTGGAGTCACACCACCACCATGGCAATTGTAGCGCCGCTCTCTGGCTCACACCGCCACTTACCTGGTGTTTACTTGCCGTCGATTCCGGGGCTTTTCCTTTCCAGCAA